ACACATATATATATGTACACCAGTCGATCTGTGCCCATATATGTGTATGTCATATTCTATACGTCTACATGTGCGGGCATGTGTTTATATTTCCATTTTCTATGTTTCTACTCATGTGCAGCTGTCACGCACACGCGTAGAACTCAACTTGTGAATCGCCGGCAACAAAAAGAACAGGGAATCTCAAATAAAATCGCACACAATGGATTTTGGTGTGTAATGCGCACGCCAGACATCAACATGCCATTCCCCATTGCAAGAATCCTATTGCAAAGCCGCACGCCAAGAATTGATGTGCAACCCTTCCGTTATGAGTCAATGTGGGAATCGCCATGGCAGGAATTGTTTTGCAAAGCCCTTGCAACCGAGGTTTACACCAGCAATCGTGTAAAGCCGCGCGAAATGATTTGATCTGTACGCCACGCACTAGGAAACAACGTGTACATCGTTCACAAAAAGGATTTTATGTTATAGCCCCACAAAAAAGCTTGGATTGTATTCCACGCATTAGGAATCACTGTGTGAATCGCCCACCAGCGGACTTCTACTGCAACTCCCTACACAATGGTTTCTAACTTCAGCACGCTTTTAATACGCACGATTGGATTCAGTATGTAAATCCACCACGAAGGAAACTTCCATGGTAAAATCGCACGAACTGATCTTAGTTGTAACGCGCAATGGGAATCAGCATGTAGACCCATACCCCAAAAACTCTTTGTACAGTCCCTCAACACTACACATGTAGTCCGCAAAACAGCAATTAATTCGCAAATCGCCCACAAAAAGGAACTCGAGTGTACAGCCTTACGAAAGGATTTCGTTTCGTTTCCACACAAATTGAATCAGTTTAACATGGACCACAACAGGGTCTCCTGCGAAAAGGGCTCCGGAAACAAGTTTGCGAGGACCCCCCCGGTCAGAAAATGTTCATTTTGTTTTTGTCGGTGTTGCCCCCTCCCCGTCCACCCCCGCCACGAACAAGAACAAACACGCAATGGAAGACCAGAAAACCAGTTTCATTTTTTTTGGTTTTGTGTCTGTGTGTGTTCTAATGTTTTAGCATCCTCTGGAATTTTGCCGGCTCCCTTTCAAAGGTTTCTTTTTTCGTGGGCGATTTACACACGTATATTCTTATCGTAAAGTTTTTTTTTCTCCGTAGGGCTGTGTTAGAATATTCTCTTTGTTGGGTTTTATACACTTTAGGTGAATGCTATTGTATGCCTTGCATATAAGTAAATCCTTTTGTCTGGCTTTGCAAGAGGATTCCTTTTGTGGTTTATTGCCACATTGTTTTTGTTGTGCATTGAAAATGCAATGACGCAATGCGTTTTGCAATGCAGTTCCCTTTGTGGACGGTTTTCACTTGGCTTCTTAATGTGCGAACTACGAATGAACTCTTCTTGTGGGCTGTGTGTGCACTTGTTTTTTTTTGGCGGGGATTTCCTACTGATTCTTCGCGTGAGTGTTGCGCGACTTTGTAATATTGTTTGTGCGGGCCATTTGCGTGCCGTTTCTACTGTGCGACATTCGCCAAGCGATTTCATGTGCTCGGGTATTCCAAGCGTTTGATAGAACAACACGCCACGCAGCATACCACCAAACAACATAGCAAATCAAGCGACAAAAACACGGGAACGTCCTGACACCGAATCGACATGTATTATTTGGTCTCTCTTGGGCGGGGGGGGGGAATGGAGAACGGTGCCCCTTTTGTGCTTGAAAGGGACCCTCAATAGAGCCCCCTGGGGCCACAAAGGGACACGAACGGTGCACGGTTCTCCCCCTCCGCCTCTCCTTTCAGCAGCGCCTAGCGAGCCGTTCTTGGTCGTCCCCAGGGTGTGGCAAGGGCCCACAGTGGCCCACGTTTGCCAACAAAAGGCATCCCGTCGCCTCTTTCCCACGACGCGACGAGGCCCAGCTCCCTCCTTGCTCCAGGCGCTCCCGCTGCTCCTCCTGCCGCCCCTCCTCCTTTCCAGGCTTCCCAGATTCGGTCCGAGCAGACGGGGCCGGAGGGTCGCGCCGCATCGCCGATGCATCGGCGATGCGGCTCGATGTGGCGCTCGATTTTCTCCACGTCGACGTCGCCGATGCATCGCCGTCGTCGCCGATGCATCGGGGATGCATCGACGATTCGGCGCGGTCTTTCGAATCCATCTACCCTGACCCCATTCGGGAGGCCTCTATCCCCATCCCCGATAGAGTACGGCAGCCAGCGCAAGAAGTAACAGAAGAGATGGGCGTCAAATGCAGACGACGTGCAATCCTTGAGCAGGTTCCGAGATTGAACGTTGTTCAGGAAACCCGCCCTCGTAGGGTGCGGCATCTTCATCACTCCGCGGACAATGTGTCTGCACCGTCCTGTTTTGGCGTTTCCCGAAGCGTTGTGGATCCCCGACCCAGGAATAGTGCAGTGCTTAGTCTTCTGGCGCTTCAAGAGCTGGAAAACTGTTCAACGTACCGCGTTGGAGCGGGGCCTGAGGGGAGTCCGCACAAGTTTTGTCAGTGGTGACGTGTTTGACAAGGCCTTCGTAGCAACAACCGGGACGCGGGTGAGCGAATCGTGCGCCTAGACAAGTGGAAAAGAGGGGGGGGCGGCCGCGGAGGATGATGATAGGGGTAGACGCGCTCAGAGCATGTATCACTTCACGTGCGGCGCTGCCAGCCTCAGGCTCCGAGAGGGGAGTCCAAACACGGTGCGGTACACGGATGCCTTTCGTACGGCAGGTTCGCGTCGTGTCGATGTAGCGGCGACACCAGGCGTTCAAGGGTGATCGCCGCCGGTGGCCCAGAATTTGTTCACAGGGAACGAGTCGGCGATCGGAGCGCCGCCGATCGCTTGAGGTTCGACGATCCATGCGGCGTCGGAAGCCATCGCCGAAGTCGCCACGACGCGAGCCCCCCAGACATCCGGCCGCTCCAATTTTTGTGGGGGGCGCTCACTTCCCTAGGGATTGCAAAGGATTGCAAAAAAACCCTTGAACGAAGGATTGCAAAATCCTAGGGTTTTTTTGCAATCCTAGGGTTTTTTTGCAATCCTTCGTTCATGTGGGGGGCGCTCGCTTCCCTAGGGCTGTATTTTCGGTCTGCATCGTTTTTGGACGGTCCCGAGGTCCGGCGAGGGCCCCCCGGGGGCCGAGAACTGCCAAAATCCCTCCGCCCCACTTTTTTTCACGAGGAAAAGAAACACACAGACACAATTAATCGTCGATCCCCAGGAAAATATGGGAAAATATGGGAAGTGGGGGGGAAGACAGAAACCCAGAAAATATAGGAAAATATGGGGAATCATTTTATGTGTGTCTATTTATTTGTGTGTCCTTGGGCCCCTTCATTTTTAGGGGGTGTCGGATCTCGCCGAGCCCCCCCCCCGAAGGTGGGCCTGTACCTCGGCTCGGGCTGCGCCTCCTTCTCGCTGCTGTTTGCGATGGCGCTCGGCTGGCGCTGGGCGGTGCTCCTCGCAGGCCTCGTGCCCCGCGCGCCGGGGGGAGTCGGTGTCGTGTGGCCGATCCCTGTCCCCATCCTCGGCGGCAAGCGAGGAGGGGAAGTGAGAGGGAGAATCAGAAGGCTTGGAAGTCCTCTGGCCTTCTGAGACATTTTCTAAGCCTTCCCCGAAGGCACAGAAAACCTCTCAGAAGGCGCGAGGGCTTCTGAGAAGTCCCCCGCCTTCTGAGAAGGCCTTTTCCTTCTCACTTCCCCCTCGCTCTTCGCCGACAACCCCACCATCCCACCACCCCAGTTGGGGACATGCCCCACGAAACCCGAAGGCAACAGCCCATATCCCCATCCAGGGGGGGTACTTTGGCCAGCGGGACAAAGGCTACGCCAGTGGGGATAGGGATCGGCGAAGCGATGCTCAGAGGAGAGAGCGTCGGAGTCCTAGTCATGGCGCCCGCCCCCCCTGGGGGAGGCCCAGGGTACTCGTCGGTCGTTGAAAGCGGGGATTCTTTTGGACTCTCAGATCCTAGTCTACTTCAAGCGCCTCCTGCTTCAAGAATCGATCTGCTTTTGCTGTGTGTTGTTCTTCTCCCGGAGGGCCCTCTCTCCGAGTTCCTTTTTTTCGTAGGTCCTTACAATGCACGCCAGCCGTTGAAACTAGGTATTCTTGGATTCCCAGATCCCAATCTACTTTAGATGCCTTCCTACTTAAATAATCAGTGCGCTTTTGCAGTGTGTTGTTATTCTCTGGGAGGGGCCGAACCAAATCTACTTAATCCGCTTTCCTACGGTAGGTTCCCGTCGTGTCTACCAGCGGCGACCCCGCTGCCGGCGTTCAACGTTGAACGCCGCCGCCGACCCACAATCGGTCGGTGCTGAACGTTCTTACGTTCCGCAAGCCGGCGATCGTTCCAGGTTGAACGATCCCCGCGGTGTCAGAACCCAACGCATGGGTCGGCAAGCCACGAACTTGCTGTACTTCATGCTCTTACCTACATCTTCCGACCGACGTGCAGGTTCGTGTCACGTCGGCGAGGCGGCGACCCCGGCCTGGGCGGTCGAGCCGCGAGTGGCCCGGCATCGGCTGCCGTCGCGCTCGTTCAAGGGCGAGCGAGCAGCGCGCCCTCGATGTCCATCGCGCTTGTTCAAGGACGAACGATCCGTGGTCCGGCAGCTGCGCTACCAGATAACCCCGTGCCCCTGATGATAAATCATCCCCCCCGTTCCCCCCTCTATTTTTTCAATCCCGGTTCAATCGGATTTAATGTGGAGAGGGGCGCGGAGGCCGAACTTGATAATCCACGGGGGAAGTTGCGAATCGAAGTTGCTATCATCTCATGTTGGTGGTCTCACCATATCAGCTTCCGCAATCACGAGCGTGTGGCAGGGCTGTGGGATTCTCACCAGTTCAGCTTGCCCAAGTCACGAACGTGCGGCAGGGCCATGGGATTCTCACTTTCTCAGATCACCATTATCATCATCGGCATCGTAAGCATCATAACTTATAACTAACATCACCTTCCCGGGGAAAATCGTTGATTACCCCCGCCAGACCCCCGAACTATCCCTGAGTGATTATTATCCGGCGCACGGGGTTAGGCGCCCTCGTTCACAGGCGGGAGATCCGCGCGGCGTCAGAATGTGGCTTGCCCCAGCTCGGGGTTGGGTCGGGCACGGGTTCGTGGGCGGGGGCGGGTGGGTGGGTGGGAACTTGATCCTCGGCGTGGCCATTTTGGGTCAAGCGCGTAGCGCGTGCCCCCGGGGGGGGGGATCCTGCCCGTGAAGTTTCATTCGCGATCGTGCTCTGTCGGACCAGCCGCACTAGTCGTCGCCACGGCCCGAATCCTGCCGCACCCCTGCCGCTGCCTCCAGCTCTGGACGCCAGGGGAGCACATGGCATGGATCAAAGGTCTGCCCCCAGAGGCCGGATGCCTGGTGGCACCCGGTCCAGCCCGCCACCGTGCCTGGGTTGCAGGCCAGAAGCCTCTTGGGAGCTTCCTCGAGGGGCCTGGCAGTCTTCGGAGGCCAGATATCCACGCGCGCTCCCACTCTGCCTCCTGGTGGGCCTCGGGCGTGAGCAGGGGCATTGGTGACGTGTCGAGCGACAGATCACCTCTATCTTTTGGAAGCAAGGGGTGTCCGCGGTTCGGTCGGCGCGGCTGCGCTGCAGTCGGTTACGCTCGGGCGGATGGGTTCGGTTGGTTGTCGAGTCGCTGCTGCGTCGTCGCGTCCTTCCCAGCTGCTTTTGGTCGATCCGCTTTCGGGCTCGCTGTCGGTTCGGTCGGTCTCCAACTGTGCTGTCGCCGTGGATGGCCTGGGAAGGGGTCGAGGGCTCCAGGCGGCCAAGCTGTTCAGAAGCCACAGGTGTCGGAGGCTTGGTCGGCGTGCGAGCACAAGAGGGTGCCCTGCCTGCCCTGCCACCAGAAATCGCGGGTGTCCCGAGCTCCTTGATCGGATGCTGCCAGAGGTCCCCCAAACCCGAATCCAGAGGCCTCCAAAATAGAGTCCTGAGTAGATGGTCGGCGATGCATCGGTGATCCACATCGAGCCGCACCGCCGATGCATCGGCGATGCAACGCGACCCTCAGGCCCCACGTGCTCTGGCCCCATTCGGGTATTGCCAGAGGTGTCCCTGGCCCAAGGTGCCCCCAGGATTTCCGAGGAGGCCCCCACGGCCTCCAGAAGCACCCACCACGAGGAGGCCTTTTTGGAGGCCCTCTTGGAGGCCTCTTGGGCTGTCTTGGAGACATCTTAGGGGCCTCTTGGACCATCTTGGAGCCATCTTGGGCCGTTTTGGTGGCCTCCTGACCTGTCCGACGCCGTTGGAAGCCGTCTTGCGGGCCTCTCCGGGCCGGCTTGGGGCCCTCCTGGGATGCTCCAGGGCCGTCTTGGAGGCCATCTTGGGCGCCTTGGAGGCCTCTGGGGCCGTCTTGGGGCCCTTTTGGGGCCGACTCAGGGGCATATCGTGCCGTTCTCGGGCGGAAACCCAATTCGTTGGGTGCTTGCCCAAATGAGCTTGACAACGAACACTCTGTCGTAACGGCGACTAGGGGGCTGGAGCAGGGAACCTGAGCTCCGGCGAGGGGGGTTTGACTTGTCCCCCTTTGCGCCTTGAGCCGGCTTCCCTCCCCCTTTTCCTCCTTTCCCTCTCAGTCGTCTTTTACGCTTGACCCAAAAGCAGCAGGGGGATGCAGCGAGCAGTCAGCGCGCAGGCCTCCAGAGCCGAGCGGGCGTGAGGACGGTGGTCCCTCTGTCGTTTTGCGCGCCCAGGAGCTTTCGACCCCATCCTGTCGGTGCGGTGGGGTGTCTTGACGGCGCCGCTCGTGGAGGGAGCTCTGCACCTTGCAGCTGGTGCGTGGTCGTTTGTTTTGGGCCCTGGAGCTCTTTGACCCCGTCCCAGTCGGCGGGTGCGCTGGTGCGTGGTCGCCTGTCGTGGGCCCTGGAGCTCTTTGACCCCGCCCCATCGACCAGGTGCTTTCGGCATCTTGGTAGCACCAGGAGGTCTGGACCCGATCCCTGTTGGCAGGTGTCTTCGCCCCCGAAGAGAGCAGGCATCTTGTGGTCTGCACGGGAGGGTCCGTAGCCATCTGGGCTCATCAAAGGGTGTTGCACGGAAACTTGCCGCCCGACCGCCCCCTCGTGCATGTATTCCATATTGACAAGGACAGCAGTCATCTGTTTTCTTGTTCATTCGAAGTGGTGCACTGAGCAGCCATATATGTCCAAGAGCAGCCAAGAACACAGTGCCGTGCCACTTGGAGAAGCGAGGTGATCTACCACGCAATTTCGTGCAGCGGGTGTCTTACTTCCAGAAGGTCCACAGACATTACGGCGCGGGTTGACTGTCCGCATGAATGTGCTAGGGCGTTTGCCCTGAGGGACCAAGTTCTTGCGGCGCTCGTGCGAAGCGACCACCTTCGGTTGTTCCCATTGTTGAAGTCTTTGGGCCAACTGAAGGTGACGAGGCAGATTCTGGCAGTAACGGGAATTGGCCACCTTGTGGTGGATGCGTCCCTCTGGACGTCAGAGGGACTGATACGCTGGCCATACTGAGTGCGGATTTGCGGGGCGAGTTGAAAAGGTTCAAGAACGAATCTTTCCTCTGCGCGGTGAACGTACGGTCAGATGTGCTAGAAGAGATGGACTCACCGCCGCTACCGCGTCATGCGCGCCAGCGTCTAGGGCGCATGCTCACATTGTGCGGTTTCAACCACTTCAGTCATCTGCGTGGTTTGACAGCCGCCGACAGCCGCCGAGCTCAAAGGAGTCACGGACTCGCCGGTGCTTCAGGCTGCATTGGAACGCTTGCTGGCACGTGCGTCATTGGTTGCAGCCGACGGCGCAGCTGAGCCACGCAGGAGCGCAGGCCCGGCCAGCGACGTCATCTGCTGAGAGTTTCGTTGACTCTATATCACCGCAGGTAGTGCAGGAACTTGAAAGCCATGTTCTAGCAGAGCTGAAGGGCATGGGCATCACGGACCTGGACCAGGGAGCGAGACCCATGGAGGTCATCAATAAATTGAAGGTTGCGAGGGAACAGGGAGGAAATCCTTTGAGTGTGCTCCAAGAGAGAGAGCGAAGCTCTTCAAAATGAAGTCGGCTAGAGCGTCGCTAGCAAGTGTCTCAAGTGCCCTCCGTGCCTGGCACGCCTTCGCAGTCCATATTCAGGGGCTTCCAGCTTGTGCTACTCTACCACCGCGCTTAGGGGCCCAGGCGTGCGAGTTTCTGGCAATTTTCCGGTCGGGGAAAACAGCCAGCAACTACGTCGGGTACGTGAGGTGGACCTGCGTCCACTTGGGCCTGGACGTTTCATGGTATGGCGAGGAGGTGAAGCAGACCCTGGCAGGAGTAAATAAGAGAGCTCTGCGGTTCACAGGTGGGCCAGCCACAGTCTCGCAACTGCTCGCATCGCCAATCCTGAACAAAGTAGCACAGCTTGCTGACGCAGCGAGCGTGCAAGATGGCTTCCAGGAGCTAGTGATCATCAGCTGGGCGTTTCTCTTGAGAGTTCAGTCAGAGGGAATCCCGCTGGAAGCTGGAGCTGCACGGGGGGAAGGTGCGTTGCCAGCAGGGGGGCGTTCTTCAGTCTGGATTGCAGACGGGGCATTGCGCCTGCGTCTCCGGCGAAGGAAGCATTGTCCAGCCGGCTCCCATCTCGCCAGAAAGTGTTCGTGTACTCTTACAGGCGAACGCTTGTGCCCTGTGCGCAGGATAGGAGCGTTCTTACAAAGCAGAGTTTGCGGTCAGAGATTGGTTAATTTCAGCGGCCGCGTCTTTGTCAGCGCTTTGCGGCGATTTCTCGCCCTGGCATTGGTGCCGGGAGCGGCTGCCTTCTCCCTGAAGTCGTTCTGGGCAGGGAGAGCGACTGAATTGGCAAGTCAGGGCAAGTCCCTAGGTGCCATACTGGCAGCAGGCGAGTGGAAATCATCGCAGTTTCTCAGATATGTTGACATCGACGTAGTCGAGCAACGGGTCTTGTTCGATAGAGCCGTGAAGTCTGACAGTGACACGGAGGCTGGAGATGCTGCAGTCGCGAATGCAGTAGTTTGAATTTTCTTTTGAGCAGGCAGCTGGGCGGGGCGGGGGCAAGCGACCCCCCCCCCCCCTGGCGCAGCTTTGCGGAATTGCCCAACGAGAGTCCGCGGAGAGCGGGAGAAAAGAGGCTTGTAGTTGAGGGTAAGAGTGAGGGGCGCGTGTTTCTGTGTGACAGAGTAAGTCCGTTCAGGCACCTAAGCAATCGTCTCGTGCGTTCTGCTGGGGTCAGAGAGTGAGCGAGGGCAGGTGAGTTTGGGCCATCTTGGAGGCCCCGTGGGTGATCTTGGGGAGATGTTTGGGGCCTCTTGGGCCGTCGGAAGGCCGAAACAAAGCAAATGCCAACGTCCTTCAAGCACGTAGGGGAAATGAAGGATGTTGGCCTCTTCGGGACCTCCTGGAGGATCTCCTCGAGGCTTTGTGAATTGTTTTCAGACCTCTTGCGGACCTCTTGGGCCATCTTGGGCCATCTTGGGCAGTCTGAGTGGCTTCTTGGGCGAATTTGGAGGCATCTCGGACTCGCGTGGGCCGTCTTGGAGGCCATCTGGGACCTTCTTTGACGAACTTGGAGGCCATCTTGGTCGTCTTGGAAGCCATCTTGGAGGCGGCCCGACGCCCGGATGACGGAAACCGCGCAGCGTCGCGATCCGTTCGTCGGGAGAAATAGTGAGGGGGGTGTGGGGTGTAGGCAGCCGCGGGCCCAGATGACGGAAGGCGCGCGTAGCATCGCGACCCGTTAGCTGGGAGAGATAACAGGGGTGGTATGGGGGGTGGGCAGCCGAGCGCCCAGATCCAACGGCGCATTTTTTTGGTCAGTTTCGGTCCAAGACGGTCCAAGTCAGCCCCAAACGCGCGGAAGAGGCCCCCAGGGCGCCCCAAGACAGCCCCAAGAGCGCCCAAGACAGCCCCAAGAGCACCCAAGATGTTGCAATGCTGTAGCTATTTTGGCGCAAGCCATTTTGGCTCAAGCCCTGCCTGCCCGCGCCGTTAAGCCAGTATCAACCAGCAGCCCTTCGTGCGCAAGGAATAGCTCAGCACCAGCATCGGCAATGATATCAAATAGGTCGAATCCGATTGTGTACTCAATGCTTTGAATTTTGTGCGATATAGGAGCTTTTAGCTTGCACTTGGAGGCGAATGGGAAAACGCCATGCGATTCAACGAAAGGAGAGTGGCAGATGTCAGCGAAGCCGCCATTGTACGACATATCGCATGTCGACGGAGAATACAAATGCCCCCGCAGCAAACCAACTGACCTTACTAAATACGCATGGGTTCCAGATGACTGTGAGTTACCACTTTTTAACGTAAGCAGCGTGCAGCGCATCGTTTCTTGGTGTCTTATATTCATGGTCGGTGACTCGCTAGCTCGCAACGCATGCGAGTCATTGTGCATGTTAATGCCAAGGGTTGATAACATACATTTTGGCTTTGACCGGTATTTGGGACATGCGTGTACACCTAATGAGCCGACAGCAAGAGAGCAATTTCCCATTGAGCGCGATCGCGATAGTTTGGGACTCAGTGGTTGCGCTCTGGAGCTTAACGCATAACGAAATGTCTGCCGCAGACAAGTTTGGCAAGTTATTACACAGCATACAGAACAGCTCTATCCTGATGCTCGGTGGTGGACACCATTTTGCGCATCGTGGCAACGCATATCACCATAGAGACAGGACTCTCGAAGACACGGGCGGACGTATCAATGTTGAGGCATTCGCCATTGCTATTGAACTTGTGTTTCGCACATTAGAGAAGATGGCAGTCACAGGAGACGTCATTTTGCAAACCTATAGCCCGGGGCATTTCTTTGATGGCGATTGGGATTCGCAGGGCACTTGTGACGGACAGACGGGGCCAATGAATAACATGCGTGAGTACGCCGATTTAGGATCTGCGTCTTTCTCGGACATCGAAGCAGTAGACTCGATGTTGCGTTCCATTGCCAAGAATCCAGACTGGAGGTTCGGTTTTCGTATTTTCGATGTCACCGCCATGAGCTGGGGACGAGCAGATGCTCATCCTGGTAATGTCTCAAATGATTCACCTGGCAAGTTAACCAAAAATGATTGCCAGCATTGGTGTGTGCCAGGAGTTCCAGACGTTTGGAACCATGCATTATTACACATACTGAGCGATTTGGTCGTGTGAGGATCTTGCCCACTAGTAGCAGAGTGTGGGCCCTAACAGCCGGCTCATTTAGATTTTCTTGGCAGCGCAGAAATTCTTGGCGAGGATTGGCCCGTCATTGTGAATTCAATGCAGACCACAAAAGGGAGGATATTGTTTCTTGGGGCAAACACAACAATCGTTCACATCGGTTATCGAGCGCACGTGCGCATCATAGTTGTATGAATACGGTTGGAGTTGCTTCGGTTACCGGACGCCGGACGTGTGCGAGGCATAAGGTTGCGAACGAGTGTGTTCAACTGTCGCCATCGTCAATCACCATCATCGTTGTTATGTGGTCATATTGGTCCATGGTAGGTTTATTGGCACGCGTTTGGTGCGCCGACTTGTATTTAGGGCGTTTTGGCGTCTCCACCTTGCTTGCGTTTGCCTGGTCGACGCGCATTTGGCGCGTCGCCTGGTGACTGGCGCGCGTTTGGCGCGTCGCATGCCGCTCCGTTCGGGAGGAAATTGTGGCGTGGAGATTACAGTTTTTTAAAGCACCCAAGATGTTGCAAGACGGTGTTGGAGAGGTCAACAGCGCTCAACGAGGGCCCAGCATGGCTTCCAGACAGCCCAAGTGGCCCCAGGAGCTCCAAGCTGGAGCGAAAAGCTGGGGACACTTTTTTTTTTTTTTATTGTTGCTGTTTTTGTTTTATTTTTTTCTCGCCGAAATATAGTTTTTTCGTTTAAGCGGCGGTTGGCGGCGATTTTGGCGCAGGGCGTGTGATGCTATTCGCCACTAGGTATCCAGCTGCCTGCGGCAAGGCCCCCCGCCGTGCCAGCCCAGCATGCTTGGTGGTTCTCTTTCGGGGGGCACCGGTGCCGTACAAGCGAAGGATGAACATCACGATGACACTGACGATGCTGACGCTGCTGAAGATGCTGATGATGCTGATGATGCTGATGATGACGATGACGATGATGATGATGCTGCTGATGATGATGATGATGACGATGATGGTGATACTGCTGATGATGACGACGATGGCGATGCTGCTTTTGAAGATGATGATACCGAGGAGGAGGAGGAGGAGGACGAGGAGGAGGAGGAGGAAGATGATGATGATGATGATGATGATGATGATGATGATGATGCCGCTGCTGCTGCTGATGATGATGATCATTGTGATGATGATGCTGATGATGATGATGCTGCTGCTGCTGATGCTGATGATCTGATGATCGTGATGATGATGCTGCGGCTGATGATGATGATGATGATGATGATGATGATGATGATGATGATGATGATGATGATGATGATGATGATGATGATGATGATGCTGATGACGAGGCCTCTTGGGGGCCGTCTGGTGGCTTCTTGGAGGCCTCTTGGGGGCCTCTTGCGGGCTCCTTGGAGGCCTCTTGGGATCTCCTGGGGGCCTTTTCGGGCGGAAGGCTAGAATTGTCGGTTCGTGTTCCCCTCTCGGGCCCCTCTTGGGGCCGTCTTGGAGATCTCTTGAGCTGATTTGGGCGCCTGTTTGGCCGTTTTGGGGCTCTCTTGGGCCGCCTGGGGATCCTCTCTGGGGCCTCTTGGGCCGTTTTGGGGCTGTCTCGGGGGCCCCTGGGGCCGTCTTGGAGCGTCGGAAGCTGGAAAGGGAGATAACGTGAAACACATTGAAAACACATAAAACGAAAATTATTGATTTTTGCCTCTTGGGGCTCTCGTGGGGGTCCTCTTGGAGCGCTCTCGGGGCTTCTTTGGGTCCTCTTTGGCGGTCTTGGAAGCCTCCCAGGTCCGTTTTGAAAGCCATCTTGGGGATTTTGGTCCGACAGAGCCTCGGGAAGAGGGGCCAGTGCGCGCGACGAGTTGCGGCGGGGAGCGGGGGGGACCCTCAAGAGATTACAGAAATCCTTCCAGACAGCACTTGGCATCCTTGCACGCCTCAACGTGCCAGGGTGCACAGTGGCGGATCTGTCGCTATTTGCCCCTGATCCGCCAGCATCTTGATTGAGATAGGCTTCCGTAAAAACGAACGTAATCTTGGACCAGGGACACTTTCGGCACCCCCGACACGTGAGAGGCGGGCACGCGCACGTCTGCACGGCAGAACGTCCTGGACTAGCATCCCCCGTTGCCCCGCCGTCGCCTCCCGGCGAGGCCTGGTTGGCATAGCGCTGGCGCCGGTCCTTTACCACACGGTGAAGGAGAGCCGTGGCCCGAGCCCCGCTCGCGGCGGGGAGGAGTCGAACGGAGGGTCCCATCGAGGATTTCTTGTTTGTTTCTTTGTTGATTGTGCTTCTTCTTGGGTCTGAAAGTTAAAACCTTTTGGGCCCCCCAGATGCTTCCGCGGGAGGCTGCCCAAGTGGGGCCGGTGTGCGTGGTGCCTGAGGGTCGCGCCGCATCGCCGATGCTCTGGCCATGCGGCGCATCCCAGAGCCTGGTCCGTTCCAATGTCGCGGCCCACGGGGAGCGAAGCCCGCCACCCTCCCCGCCTTCAGAGGCGCCCCTCTCTGTTCCTTTGCGGGCTGATGTGGCTGGGGGGGGTTCCTTACTGCGAGATCTCGGGGTGGGGGGCCTTTCTCTCTTCTCCTCCCCTCCTCGCTCCCTCGCACGCTTTGCTTCGCAAAACGTCGAAAACGTTCAAGACGCGTCGTCGACGTGTCGGCGATGCGGCGTGGTCCTCCGACCCCGCCTGCACTGGCCTCCCCTGGGCGGCCTCCGGCAGCGGAGGGAAAGCGGTATGGCCCTCTTTGCCCCTGGGGCCGTCGCTGGCATTGCTGCCACTGCCCGTGCTGCAGTCGCTGCTGGTCTCAGGGCAACGTGGGAGATATCGGAGGGCACCAACTATACACCAACACCGATCCTGGCCCAGGATCACCCTGGGCCCAGGATCGGTGTATGTGCCTTCTTGCGCAAGGCAGGAGGGCGTATACACCGATCCTGGGCCCAGGGTGATCCTGGGCCAGGATCGGTGTTGGTGCATAGTTGGTGCCTTCCTAGAATAGGCCCAGGGTGTGGCGCACCGACCTCCCAATCGGTCCATTCATCGCCGAAGGGCCTGACAGCCCACCCCGTCCAGGACTGCGGACTCGCGATCGGGGGCCCATCGCTCGACGCTTCCCCCCCTGAGCTGGTCCCCTGGTGGCTTTCGGGTCATAGCTCGGGCTTCGGGCGGCCGTTCGGGACGATCTGGGCAGCCCCAGACGCCCTTGGCGAGGCGCAGCCGCTGGAAGGCATCCCGAGGCGGGAAAGCGCCGAGATCCGACGAGAGCGCACGAAAACCTGGCATTTGTAACTTCGAACCACAGCTCGCCGATGCCAGCTCAATGCTCCCCCCCCTGAGCCCGTTCCCCCGAGCGAGTCGTCCCCGAACGTTGACCCTCGCGTTCTGCTTCCGCCGACATGGCCGTCGCGCGTCGTCGCCGAGCCGCTTGCCTTCTAGGGCAGATAACTAATTGTTCATATCTCCACCAGCGGGCACGCACCTGCATGCCCGTTCAGGGGCTGTCACGGCACCTGGATTGCATCGTCTTCGCCTCCCTGGACGCTGTCGTGAGCCGCCTGACCCGCGGCCCTGCGCGCGTTAGGTAATTTAGTCGCGTCCGCGGCCCGTTCGCGACCTTCCGCCGCTGGCGCTTCCGCCTGCGGCTGTAAACAAAAAGTATCCCCACCAGCCACCCCCTGCAGCTCGTTGCATGCGTGCATACCCTGGCCCTGGCCCCCCCTCTCGGTGCAGCTTGCAGCTCACGTGAGGCGCCGCTTGGGCAGCTTAGGCAGCTTGGGTGTGCGGCTCTTGTCTGCTCCTGTTGTCGACTTGTAGGCCCGCGCCCCGGACTTCCGACTCGCCGTGTGCGCTCTCGCCCGCGGCCGCGACCAAAAAAAATATCCCCACCAGCCCCGCCTCCAGCCTCCTCCGACGCGGTCGTCGCCAGCAGCCAAGACCCCGCAGGGCCAAACCTTGGCAACACCGACCCAACGGGGTCCCCTGGACATGAGGGTCCCTCCCCTATGAACGTGGAGGGTCCGCCCCCGGTCTACTTTGACGCGGGCGCGATCAGCAGCCGAGACTCTGACGGGCCAACCCCTGGCCGCGACGACCCAGCAAGGTCTCCCGAACAGTCAGCGCAGCCAGCTGAAGCAGGGCCACGCGCACGGAAGGCCGCCCCTGGCACAGCAGGGCTGTCCCTGAGTAGCCCCGCCGCAGGGGGCCTCGGAGGAGCACCTCGGCATGCCCAGCTGCGTACCCTCTGCAGAGGGCCCGCGAGGAGCGCTGCCGAAAACGTCGCCGCGGCCAGCCACGGCCGCCCCGCCGCGACCGCCGCCGCGGTGGCGCGCGCCGCGGCGCTGTCACCCGCCGCCGCCTCCGCGGCCGGCGTGGCTGCAGCCGCCGCTGCTGCCGCGGCGGGCCAAACCACGGCGCTCGCCTGGATTCGCCATCAGCCAGGGACTCCAATTACTGCACTACTAGGGCATGCGGGCTGCTCGCGCCGGGCAGGAACACCCGCTCCCGCCGATCAGGATCAACCGCCCGCGACCCCACGGCAGCGCGCCGTCGCCCCCCCGATCGCCCCCCTTCATTCTCCTCCCATTATCCCCGCACCTCCCAGGCTCCCTGTTCCCTCTCCCGTCTCTTCCGGCTCACAAAGGGACGAACCACGCTCCCCCGTTGTCGTTCGGGATGTGGTCCCCCCTGCGGAGGACCCCTTGGCTTACCCACAGTCTCCGCACTGGTCTCCCGTAGACGACCATCTCGCCGTCGCGGGCGACGACGACCCCTCAGATCCCGGAGTGGGCGGAACCGGGCACGACGCTCGAAAAATACAATGCAGCAGTGACGCCCGCGCGCGGTGGATGGACGCCACAGGGTGCACCAACACCAGCTGGCGGCAAAGCCGCGAGAGCGACGGCCCGGCCAGCGGCCCGCGGGTCGCAGACCCCAGATATATTGGCAGAGGAGGCACCATGGGCGCTCTTCTTTGGAACTACCAGTACATCGAAGGTCCCTGGCGTGAGCTCGCTAACAGAGGGACCGAACGCACCCCCGAGCAGAACCACAATCTCGAGATGCTGGTGCATCACAGCTGGAACCGGCACCGCCCCGGTCACCCTGGTGTGCACCCAAACTCCCCAGTGCGGGCAGTGCCCCCCGACCCTGGCGACGGGCTTCCAGCCCCGACCCGCCTGGCTGCCGCAAGCATCCTGACGCTCATGGACCTCTCGGGGTTGGTCTGGTCAATCACGGGTGCTGACCACGAGGGCAGATTAGGAGGAATCCGGCCAGACCCAGTGCAGATACTCGCCCTCCGATTCGCCAGCGTCGCACACGATCCCCTGATCCACGCTGGGGGGCTCGACAGCGACAGTGCCAGCCCCGTGGAACTGCAACTGGCACGACTCGAATACGAGGCCATGGCCGCGGCCGCGCACTACTGTGACCTCTGCGTGGCTGCCACAGACAGCCTACTGCCAGACACTTTCTTCGCTCCCTCCAGAGCATGCCTCGACCCGGTCCCCAGAATCATGTTCGGACCAGGCAGGCCCGACGGAACAGTGGACCCCATGGACGACGAAACTCGGGCCAGAGCATACAGAGTGATAGTCCACGAGCACAGAAACAACATCATACACCTCCCCGGCCACAGCGACAGGCGGACCTGGGCGGACAACAGAGGAACGTTCAGCTGCCAGGGAGACGACGTGCTCTCGCTCGAGCATCACGGACACCTTGGACCACTTCCGTGGGCAACGCCCGCTCTGGAGGGCATCGCCTCCCGCGGGCCGGGTATTCCCGGTGTACCCGTGCAGGGCGGAGACCCTTCAACCAGCCTATGGCCCTGGAACACCACGGCGCATCGCCTCCTCTTCGGCGACTTCTTCTGCCCCACCACCCGCTGCGACTTCTGCGGGACTTGGCAGCTTAGGGAACCGAGAGGGCGCTTCTGCATTGCCTGCCGACGGCTGGCCGCGCCCTGGAGTATCGTGGACTGTGAGCTAGCTTAGAACACTTACCAGCCACCAAACCACCTGTTGGACGCCGTGGGACAAGAGCTCTCCTTTCAGCTGGCCAGGGTCGGAGCCAGCTACGCCCCGATAGCAGATCACTTGTACGCGCCCCGAGCGCCAGGCACAGTCGACGCCCACAGGTGCAGAGGAGTACTCATGGCATTCGACCGCCGAGCAACGACTGTCCTGGCGGAGGTACCCGTCACCCTGGAAAGACAGGAAAACGACTTGTGCATCACGGGCATGCCACCCGCTCTCACCCAGACCTTCATCCACGACGCCCTCGGCCCCCCCGCAGCAGAAACCCGCCGCCCCCGGCGCGCGCCTTGCTCCTGCAACTTTAAGACCGCCCTGGTGCCATCGAGCAACCATGAGTGGTGAAGGTCGCTCATGGATCTCACTCCCTTCGGCCCCTCCGCCGTGGCCTCGCAGTGGCCATGCCTCGGCGCCAACGTGGTCTCTAGAGCCGCCGAGGGCGAGGCGCGCCCCGCAGGGGGGCAAGTCACTCGCGGACGGATCGGCGCGCTCGTCGCCGGCACTTCGGGCAAGCCGCTCCCCAGGATCCGCGACCGAGCCAGTGCCCTACACATGGCGGGGATGTCTCCCTCGCGCACCGCCCTGACCTGGAACTCCCACCTCGTCTCGCTTGTTCCCTGCCCCGCACGCTACATGGCACCCGACGTGCTGCAGGGGCGTGCGCTCCAGGCTCAACTGCGAGTGGCCCTTGGTCTCGCGGGTGCCTCCTGGATCCCGGACAACGTGCTCACGGGTCTCGGCATCCTTTTCCAAGTCGCTGGGTGCCCGCAGTGCCCCGTCGCCGCAGCCAGGGCGATCGCGACCAGGGCCCGCGCGCTGGGGGCGTTTGGGGACCTCTCCCGGCCCAGAAGCGGGCCAGGACCAGATGGAACAAACTGAACAAGTGGGCCGCGAGCTTCGTCAGCCGACAGGGACCCAGCAGGCCCTGCTCCAAAGTGCTCACGGACACCAGAGCCGCCGACCTCCTGACGCGCGCGCAGCAGGGGCCACGCAGGATTCGGAGCCGCTACTTCGGCAGGGTGGCTAACGTGGCCGCATGGGCTCAACTGCGCGGACATAGCACCAAAAACTGGTTCCGCGACGCCAGCCAATCCAGGCGCTTGGCACAGACCGACGGGGCGGAATGGTCCCTGATCCAGCATTGCGCCTTCTTCACGGAGGCTCA